GTTTAATAACAGATTAAATAATTCAAAAACCTATTCATATAGACACTTGGTATACCATATTTAATCGGTGGATTAAACCATGGACTAAAGTTAGTCCGCTTTCGAGAATAGTTACCACCCAATGTTTAATAGGCTCATTTCAGCTCCCACATTTCAGCACTAACCTCACACGTACTTCTACGCGCATCGCGTACTAACATAACGCTGGATAGTACTGGAAGCTATAGGAGCTATTTCATGAATAAACTTGAGGTAGTCTCAATAAATGAATCCCACGTGATCGCGTTTGACCAATCATGTGACTATAATGTAGGAGAGAGTCATCAGTCATGTATTTATATCTATATCGCCTCAAAATACCCAAATCATTAATCACATGGGATGTTAAGGGTATCAACTAAATACTTTATTCATCCAGCTTTAGCCAGGCAGATCACCCTAGAGCGATGAAAGTATTCAGACCAATACTCACTACCAGGAACCCATAACCTACACTTAGGATGAGGATGGTAAACATAAATTAATCTGTAATTGTTAATAACGATATTATCACCGTGATCATGTAAGAATAAATCCATTATCTCTTCAGTAGGCCTAACCACAAACCTACATTATTTACACATAATTATATATTTTATTATATTACAAAAGTAACCTCCGATAATAATAATAATACATTAGATTTGTAAGGCGCCGAATCCACTTGACAATCAAATGCTCAAGGCGCAGCTTGTGCAAAAGATGAAATACATGATAAATAGACAAAATTACAATAGGAAAGGTTTTGGTAATCAATTATAAACCTTCTCTTACACAAATCTATTACCACGCTGCCTGATATATTATTTGCAATATTCTTAATCATATGAGAACAAAATAGCGTTCATTATAATTATGAAAAGATGGTCATAATATTCAGTTACCTAAACATAGAGGTTGTATGATCATTATAATGCAAAGATAATGCTAAAATAATATTGGTACAGATTATGTACACAATGCCAGACATTAGTATAATTATCAGACCTACATTCAAACGTGTTGTTTTCGTTAAAAACGATACCGAACTGATGAACTTCCCCGCCCCTCCGCCCCCCCCCCCCCAACTCAGTGTTTGTATTTAGGGTACGCACAGGCGCGTACACAGGGGGGGGGGGGGGGGTTGGGGGTTAAACCCCCCCCCCCCTTTGGTAATTTTTTGTGTATAAACCCCCCCTAAAAAAAAATAAAAAAATATATATTCTCATGGTTAACCTAAAAAAGCTGACCTTACCCCCCCCCCCCACCAACGGAGCAAAATGTCAAATTTTCAAATTTCGAGACCAAAAAAAAAAAAATGTGTCCTCTTACCCCCCCCCCCCCCCCCCCCCCCCCCCCCGCTTATTCAGCGGCTGGCTGAGTCGTTGCGAAATTTTCGGCCCGATTTATGAATGTTAAACCCCCCCCCCCCCCCTTGAAAAAATCCTGCGTACGCGCCTGGGTACGCATATGCATGATCCCTCCTTTTGAAAACACCCCCTAAGTCCGGAGTGTAAAGTCAATACGGGTCGGATTTGTGTGTACTACGAGCCGGACTATGGTGCGTGAAAAGTACCCCTTTACCCTTTATTTTGGGAACACGCATGGTATTCCTCCGTTCACGGAGTTGGGGGGGGGGGGGGGGGGGAGGGGGAACTTTTTTTCCTAGGGTACTGTTTATCGCAAGGTGCCCCGTCCCCCCCCCCCCACTCAGTGTTATTTAGGGTACGCATGTGCTTGTTCCCTCTTTTTAAAAGCACCCCCTATCTGAGGACTGCCAACATTTCCGAACCCCCCTTTCGCGGGCTTTTCCTGCCTTGGAGACCCCCCTAAATTCGGAAAAATGCTCAATGTACCCCCCCCCCTAAATTCAGAAAAATGCTCAATTTACCACCCTCAATTCGGAATAATTTCTCAGTAGTCCAAAGAGATGAGAGAAAAAAAGAAAAAACACCCCCTTTTTAAAGAAATCTCCGGGTGAAAGTCAAATACACCCCCTTTTCTTACAAATCTCGGGCCGGACTTTGTCGCACGAAAAGTACCCCTTTACCGGACATTTTGGTAACACGCATGCGGTCATTCAAACCCGGAGTGGGGGGGGGGGGGGCGGGCAAGGCGCAATCTCATATGGTCAACTTCTCAACAGTGCATAACCCTATACCTCATTCTCATTTCGCAGACAGAGGTGTCGATGCGAGAACCAAAAACTCAGCTGACCTGAGATGGCGCTAGAGAAGATTTTGCGGCAGTGCCATTGATTAGGAGAGTTTGGCCAACCCGGTTCGAGTTGGACACAATATGGCGACTACTGCTTTGTTGGGCAAGCACAAAACAAAAGAAATACGCCATGTTGTGACCCAGTGAGACCAAGTTGGCCAAACTCTGTGTATAGATGGCTCTGTTTTGCGGTAGTGCTATACAATAAAGGAAAATAAGAAATATGTACATGTACGCCCTATAATAACCGAGCGAAAAGATTTTTGCTAAACTCTGCACTCTTGGGCCCTCCAGAGCTTTAAAGTGTGTTGCAATCTTTAGCCAGTATTTGCTATACATTTTTTGTTGCATTTTTTCTAATTTTCCGGGTAGGGGGGGACGACCCCCCCCCCCTAAAAAAGGAGGTTGGGGGGGGGCATTATAATCCCTCTTAAGATCTAGGCCGTCAAACAGCCGATCTCCGCGAAAATTTGTACGCATGTCAACTGAAGTGTATAGAATACTATGATAGTTTCTTTTCTTTTGGAAAAATTCACTCATTTGCATATTTATGGTAATTTATGCAAATAAGGTCATAAAATTCACATTTTACCCATAAATCATATATTATTCATATTTAAGCATTTTTTTCTCCTTCATATATTCATTAGACCATTTGGAATAATAATACGACAAAAGATTTGGAAGAGCCAGCTTATTCCTTATGTTATCTCTTGTTTTGATATTTTCATATGTATTTCATTGTTTTTTTGATTTATATATATATATTTTTTATTTTTTTTTTCATTTCTAACTATAATTCAACTATTTTACTCCCAAAACAACCACCTAAACTTAAAACAAGACCCAATAACTAATGTTTGATTTATTTTTAAGAAAAATGACATTTCCATTTTGTTTTGTACACACATCAGGAAAATTTGCGATTTTCGGGCTGACAAGAAAAGACAAAAGATCACGTGACTCCAAAAAAATCTTTTAAAAGATGCGCAAGACTCAAAAGAAAAAAGTCAGGGAGCGGCGGGGCGCCATCCATATGCGTACCCGAACAATCAGAAAAAATCATGGAGGGGGGGGGGCCATAATGCCCCTCGGCCTTATTAGGGTTAAGCTGTCATGCTCACCTCCTTGTACATTATGCATAATAAAATAGTAGACCTACCAATCAATATTCTTGCACTTATATCAAATGACAATCATCAGAGCACATGTAGGAAGATCTACCTCTCACCCTGTATCCCACTGAGTTCATCAGTACCACAAGGATTAAATGTTTTTAATTTCTGAAAACATCCAGAATCTCTTGAAATTCACGAGAAGACCATCCAGTATCTTTTCTATGTTCTTCACCTATGTTTTTAACTTGCCAATGGATAGGAGATGCATCTGATTTCTATCTTCACCTTCCTAATTTCACTTTTTCCTTCTTCCTTCTTGGAATCCATTTGACTAAAAGGAAGACAAAATGTATTTAGTTAACCTCCAATTTCCCCTTATCAAAATACCTTGAAGTCTAAGATTAAGTTGATGCTTAAATGGCTCGATTTGGTGCATACTGTTTGCCAAATTAAAAAGAAAACAGTCTTAAGTTCAACTAACAGGAACAATAACGCAGGGGGTGTCTGAGAGGGGACGTGCCCCCTCAGAAGTTGAAGTTTTTTTTTTTTTAATTGTTGGATAAATGGCTCGATTTGGTGCATACTTTTTGCGAAATGAAAAAGAAAACAGTGACTTAAGTTCAACTAACAGGAACAAGAACGCAGGGGGTGTCTGAGGGGGGATGTGCCCCCCTCATAAGTTGAAGATTTTTTTTTAAATTGATGCACAAATGGCATGATTTGGTCCACACTTTTTGCCTTTTTGACTTAAGTTCAACTAACAAGAACAAGAACGCAGGGGCGGGGGAGGGGGATGTCACCATACTTTTTCAGAAGGGTTTTATAGATGAATTTGTCGTTTCCATTGAACAATCAGCCATAAGGTTTAGGAGATACAAATGATTAATTTGATCTTTTTTCAGTTGGTGAAAGGTTTTTCATCGTAAACCAATGTTTAGAATTCCGGTAATGTGAATGTAGTAATATAATGACGCGTCTTAAAATCTGATCGCCTGATTTTGCTTGCTTTTTTTTTCTCTTTTTCTTTATTTTCTCTATCTTTATTCTTTTACCCCCTCTCCCCCCGCCCTCCCTTACGTCATAATTTACCTTTTATAGTTTTAAAAAAGAGAACGTTCCCACACCGGGAATCGAACCTGGGCCGCGGCGGTGAGAGCGCCGAATCCTAACCAGTAGGCCATTATTATGGGATACACAGTTTCGCAGGTGAGGTACCGCACACTGAAAATATTTCTCCTGGCCTAATTCCTCCTAATTCTCGTCCCCTTCCTTTTCTCTTCTTCTCCTTCTTTTCCTTTCTTCTCCTTTTTTTCCTTTTCTTTCCTTCTCCTTTTCCTCTTTCTCCTTCCCTTCCTCTTCCCTTTTTCAAATGATACGGGTCGGCCGCATCCTCTGCCCCCCCCCCCCTGTCGCGCCGCCCCTGGGGATATCAATTAATTTGTATTAATTTACCTGTTTATATGCTTGTGTATTTATCTATGTTGTTTTTTATGTTGTTATTTTGTTTTTTATGTTGTTATTTGTTTTATTCTTGCTAACAGGGCCTCATGGAAGACTTCCAAATTGTTGATATGTGCCACCCTGTATAAATATCAGGAATAAATAAATAAATAAATAAATAAATAAATAAATAAATAAATAAATAAATTACACAAAACCTTCCAAGTATTTTTTAAAGTGAAATGACGGATGGTATCGATATCGAGCGTAATGATTTATTTGCGCATGCGCCGATTATACGTTAATAATTCGGCGATGGAGGAAGGTCTGTCGTCCCTCATCACGAAAGTGGATAGAATTTCTATTGTCTTACCTGAAAGGTACCCTAAAAACTGGGCGGATATCCAGAATGAGGGACATCGAAAGCATGTCTACGGAGGAGAACTACTCAATTTGGCATTGGTTGTATCACTTTCAGAAAAGAACGGTCAACCTGTAGCAGAGTCGGCCGAAACATGGAAGGCCCTATCCATCGCGGGGAGCGCTGGGTACAGCACACCCGAAGATTCGCCGAGTGCCAACAGGTCCGCTTCGCTCAGTTTCTCTCAGCAGCGTTCACAGAGTGTTGATTGTCCCGATCAGGCAGCAGATGCTGAGGCCGAACGAGATGGCAGAAAAACGCACAGTTCAAGGGGTACAGGACGACGTTTTTCTGAAAGTAGTGCTCCCCATACAGAGAATATGAGGTGCCTTTCTTTTACATCTGTACCTGTCAGACTCAAACTTAACGAGAAAGCTGCCAAGTCAATTTCGAAAAAAGTGAGTCAGCTCCACTCGAAGTCAATCATTGCATGCTGAGCTCAGAGTCAGAGCCTCAGTTGCAGTTTTAATTCTAGCCTTATTCGGCTGGGTGAAAATATATATTACGATATTGACGTCACCTAGCCTTAATTGGCACCGATACCCCTTCTCGAAAAGTGATGTAAAATTGTAAATAAAATTTAGCGAGTTCGCCTTTAAATTGTTTTACTTACACTTGCACTATTGCAGACTTAATATTGTTGCCTCGTTTATATACTATTGTTAGTAGGGTCTAAGTCATACATGTATTAATTATTAGATACGTGGAATAGCAGAATTCAATAGATGAAGTGGTTGTTTGTTTTATATTAGAAGGTGATTATTAAAGGCGCACCCTACATAGGGTCTACATGTAAGTAAGAGACTGCCCCATGACAAAATTTGATATCCACATTGTCATTAGTGGACCAATGCTTCATCAAAAGAGCTAAGACAAAGTCAGAAGACTTAAAATTCTTAGCCAGCTGGCAGTGACAGAAGGAAACATGCACAACAAATATAAATAAACTCCATAAAATGTACACAAGTTGTGTCAGTTTTAATATTGCTTGTTTAATGCATTAATCTTCAGGTCAATGTAGTTCCTTGTTCTGAGGGACGAGCACTGGTTCTTCCTATGAGTGTACCTCTTGGCTCCCCACCAGAGAAGGGCGGGGCCTTAACCTCTCACATAGCAACCATCAATGTGGATATCTCTGAAGCCAGGGCAAGCAGTGAAAAGAGGGAGGAGGATCGGATAGACATGCTACTACAGTGTTCAATAGAGGAAGTTATTCAAGCTGAAGAGAAACAACATGTTATACACAATGGTATTATAAACTTTCTCTGTCTGTTTCTCTTTCCGTATTTCTTGTTTTGACCGTGAGCTAATCACAAGTCACAAGCCCATTTAAACTATATTCAATGATAGGGAGAAGTGTTTCTTCACGTAAAGTGTAAATCTTTACAGAGAGAAAAATGTAAATGTTATTTTATAAAAAAATATGTTTGTTTAAGAAATGTATGAATGTTTGAGTCGTCAATATAAACAAATAAGACTCTCAAATTAGGGGACCTGTCTGTCATGTGACTACCTGAACTACTCTTTTTTTTTAATTTGAATATAATGGAATTGTGTAAGTTTCTCACCAACAAAAATGTTGTTCATGCCCGTGCTTCAGATATTATGTGTAAATGATATATACGTCTCAGATTTTTCCTGCATATCACCATGAAAAATATTAATTTGGCTTTAGTAAACATTGAAAACGGTCATGGAATTTGATGTTCTATGTTTGTATTGTAACAGTATCTGCTGAATTTCCAGTGCTTCCACCACCTCAGGTCAACTGTCAACATTTCAGTGTCTCTGGGAAACATTACTTAGTAACAAAAGGTGAGTACAGTCTAGGGTTAATTTGTGTCCTCAGAAGAGTATCTATAAAGAAATCTCTGCATAAAGGCACAAGTGAATTGAAATTTGTGTAATTTTGTGTGTTGGAACAAATGGGAAAGTTGTTCGCCACTACATGTTGTACATCACAGAGACATTACAGATTAAGCCAATTTGAAGAGACCATACCTATACAGTGTATAGTGAAAACAAAATTTGAAGAAAATAAAATCTGAATTTTTAATTAAAATCATTCAAACTTTCACCAGGTTACTTCTCTGATTTATCTCCTTTAAGATTTATGGTCATCTAGTGGTTCTTGAGTGAACTTGATTGAAATGTTCTGCTAAAAATAAATTGTTCATTAGTTTTTAAAAATCTTTCTTGTCTTTATCAGTGTGCAATAGTTATCCAGAAGAGCTGCTAATTCATACTATCCAGGTCTTTGTCAATAAGAACATTAATCTGGAGTCTACAAGTTCTTCAACAACGTTATCAAGGTGGGTTTGCATGAATCAAGGGCACAATCAACCAACATTGTATGCAATAATTGGGACCACATGTTGCTAAACATATTAGGCCAAATAACAACAATGAAGTGTTTCTCGTACCCACCCGCCTCCGCCTCCATATTTTACTATTTACTATTCAGGAAAAATAAGCCCCAAAAAGCCCCTTCCAAAAAAAAGACAAGGTGGCCCGAATTCACAAAGGAGGTTTGTCGACACGTTTTTTACAAACCTGGTTTGTAAAAACGTGTCAAAATGCCAAGGGACGTTAGTTAATATTTTTTTCCTTAAAAAATGAATTATCAAAAAATATAAATTCTGTTGATTTGTACGTCCCTTGAGAAACCACTACCAGTAAATGGTGAGAGCGATTGGTGGCATGAACGGCCTGCCATAGTTAAGTCCAACTTAAAGTCAATCTTAGTCTTTGTGAAACACTCCCCTGGTATGAGTTGATACCCTTCTGGTTTTCAGTAAATTGATGTTAATGGCAGAGTCGCTTGTACGAGGAGGATGCATCCATCTGAGAGTGAATTTTTCTACCAATGCACAAATCTCTTTTCACTTTCTCTCTATTTTTTTTTTTTTACCAGAAGACTCGGGAGCGAAATGGCTCACTGCTCCCATTGGTATTTTTTCGGCTGGTTCATATTTTTGTGTGGCTGTTGTATTTGTGAGAGAATACATTTCATGATACATTCAAGAATATTCCCATAATAGAATACATTTCATGATATATTCAATGATATTCTCATAGAGTACATTTGTTGATATATTCAAGGGTATTCCCATGGTTTTCTATTGCTCAGTGATGCTGGAGACTGGTCATCATTTCTCTCGATAGAGCTTCTACCTAGTCAGAGAGATCAATCATCTACCAGTCTGCATCCTAAAGAGGAACATACGTTTGTCTTCCAAGTCACTTGGGATTGCTCTCTGCCTTCAAACAGACCTGAAGAGGTATGTACGTGTATTAAAGGGCTCCTCTCTGTCTCATACAGGGAAAAGAGAAATGCCATATGTGTTGTATTAAAGGTTAGCTTCTATGAGGTCAACTCCCCAGAGAGTGGAGAATGTGCATACGTTGTACATTGTGTGCGGGTAAGCCTGAATCCGATGACCGGGGTAATAATATATCTGTAAAGCGCTTAGGCACATCGTTGTATTGGGCGCTATATAAAAGCGGAATATTATTATTATTATTACTCAGGAAGGGGGGGGGGGACAAATGGCAGACATCTGTGTTTTCCTTCAGTGTATGAAAAGACTTGCTTTTCCTTTAAAAAAAATTCAAATCGTTATTATAATTATTTTCTATTTTTTACTTGACATTTTTAGTTGAAATAAAAATTTGATTGAATTTATATCAAAAAGATAGGAATCCATGTAATGGTGCAATTTACAGTACATCAGGTAATTTTCTTACATACAAAATATATCAATTATAATTTTATTATCTCTGTGCTGAAGCAGCTCTGCACATCTTTTTAGAATACTGGTTAAAATGAAATACTGTATCAGATATGAGTAAACCACAAACATAGTTCAAGATTAGTATTTTGAAGCTGAGCTTTAACAATGGCTGTGGGTGATTGATCGATTCAAATTTTTTTCCATTTCATATAAATTGTTTGCACAATAACAAACATAGAGGACAAAGTAAGTTAAAAATTATGAAATGAAACAGGAACCTACTGGAAAACATAGTTGAGTACAGTGTGTATGCTAGTATTCTATTGTAATATTCATTCTACATCTTTCATCAGTATGTAGCTCTTTTAAACCTTGACATGCTCTCTTTTTTGTATAGCCTGTACAGTTTCCCCTCTTTCTGGTGATTGAGTGGAACACCCCTTCTATGGCTATGGAACAATCCATTCAATCCCACTATCATATGCCAACAGTCACAATGGATTTCCCAGCATTCATAGTGCTTGCCCAGTGCCAGTCACCTGTCACTACAGGTCAAAGGTCAGTTGTATGATGTCATTATTATAATTCAATCAAGATATATGTGCCCGGCTTCATGTAAGCTAGGTATTCTGGTTATTGATATTTTACATGTATGTCATTTATTAGAGTAAAAATGTTTAACAATAACTTTCTGAGATACCAGAAATGTCAAAATGCAATTTGTCATAAATGGACTTTGTGATAAGAAGTAAATATTTTGATGTTATCTATGTTCATCTTCTTTTCAAACTATTAAAGAACATATCATATACTGCATTTTTTTTCAACAATATTTTGTTTCTCTACAAGAAAAATTGTTTGATACCTGATAGCGTACTATTCTAGAACTATATATTTGGCCATAAGTTGTTTAGAAATGTGCATGGCAGATTTTTAAATGTGGCATTGTACAGTTGTAGAAATAAACATTCGGAATGTGGTTTGTACTATCATTACAACTCTGTTCCATGTATTATTGTTGTGAACTAAAACTTTGGTTTGCGATTTAAAACTGAGACTTTGCAGCCACTCCCTATATCCTGATAATACACTAATAATATGGAGTATTTAGGAGCGCTAAATCTAAAAAGTATTGTAAAGCTAAGAAAATTAGAGAATGTGAAGAGAAACCACATTAAATCACATTATATGAATACTTATGAAAAATGTGAAAAAAAACCAAACAGCCTAAAAATCCCTCCATCCGGCCGGCGGAGGGCTATATTAAAGGGATCTTTTGAAAGAGGCAAGACAAGCTAATTCTCTGATGAAAAGAGGGATATTGTTCCACATTTTTTGAGCCAGCCACTGTAAAACGTTTGGTAGATTTCTTTCTTAAGCATCATTGTTGCTGTTTCATTAGTAGAACACAGTTCCTAGGTATTTTCCAATATACTGTACACTACTATACCATTGAGATCTCCTCCCTTTTGTATAATCGTGACCTTTTTATTTTTGTTTTTGCAACTTATAATGTTGTTTTAGTTTGAACATGCAGTTGATTTTGATAGCCTTTTTATTTCGTCATGCAGCAGAACCTCTTGAAGTACTTGTGTTTGTCATGGGTTTTTATACATTTAGAGCAAGAACTTGATGTCAAAATGTCAGCCCCTTCACATTTTATGTTTGGTGTAGTTTTACAGTGACCTACACACTTCTGAACAATCTTCAAGATTTCCTGGGAATAAGTCTTATCTGGATACCAGACAAAGAGCCAAGAGGTATAAAGGAACATCTTAACATCTATTAATAAACATCCTCCGATTCTTGGCACTTGGGGCATTTAGAAAACTGCATGGGTCACTTTAACACCTCCAAATTGCATTGCATGATTTAAATTATGGCTGCGGTGTACTAAACATAAAATCTCTTCGAAAATCATTGACAATTGATTTGCTGTTTTTCTGGATGGGCTCAGCATTGGCTTTCCATAATCACAAGAGAAATCGTTTATTTAAATAGCATTTTTAAGTTCCATAGTGTTTGCCATGTCATGTTGGTAATTTTTACTACACTGTACTTCAATTCGTTATTCTTCCTTTATAATTTGAAAACATAATTTCTCAATCTATATCTGTGATCCAGATTGCTTTCATCTCAATAACAGTCTCTCTACATTTTTGTAGCTCTATAAAATTAATTATTTTAAATATAGATTAATTTGTGGTAACATTGTAATTCATGTTAACTTCTGTTTCCAGAATTTTTTAACAGGTGTGGTTTTGTTTTGTCCTACCTGAAGCTTGTATATTGAGCATTAATTTCCACACCCCCCCCCCCTTCCCCATCGGTGTTATGTAATAAATACTGCAGCCATAATTATTTGATGCTAGCTGCGATGTGATTGTACAATGTAGTTACTCTGCATGAAAAGCTTCTGGTTTTAGTATTAAGCCTTTTTCCTACTGATGATACTGTGCAATTTCTAACATAATACTGTATGTCCCCAAGCAAAAAATGATGTGCCCCTCTTAGAAATCAAAGCTATAGAGAAGGGGGATTGACCGAGTTTGACTCCCAGGGTATCGGCTCATGAAAGATTATGGACATCCCACTGATATGCTCATCATAAGATTAACATTTTTTGAGTTGAGTTTAAAACTTTTAAGGCTTGAAGACCGATGTGAATGATTAGAGAAACTGGCCGCACATCACTTTGCCTTGTTTATAAATGATTAGGTATCTTGCCAAGCCAAATGCCAACAAAGTTAATCTGCTTTAGAAAAATAGTCTTTGTAGTTATGTCGTCATGACAAAATATAACATAAAGTAAACACAGGGCTTCAATACACACTGCAGACAGTACTCTAAATAAAAGGTCCCAAATTCCTTGTTTATAGTATAGAACTCACTAAACACAAACTGCAATGTTATTTTTAAGAAATACTATCAGTTCATCATTGGCAAAATGTTGTGAATCAAGTGCCTTTTTGATATCCAGACTTAGAATGACAGCATGCAGGTTTTTCAGTCTGGTATGAAATATTATTAGGACTGCCTCTCCAACGTTTCCTTCCTATAGGTCATCAATTTCTTTAATTCCGGCAATTCTAATATCTAAATGTATAAGAATCAAAGAAATTGGTTTATATTCAATCATACTTTTGTATTGACCTTATTGTTTTTTTTTGCTATCAATGATGATATGTCTTCAAGAAAAAGATACTGGTAGTTGAACTTTTTAAAACTACACTTAAAACTTTATTGAGTATTCCACCCAGCTACCGGTAATATCAAAGTACAGTAACACATTGATTTAGTTAGAAAGGGGACTGGAGAATTTCCATCAGATGTGTAGTTTTTTATGCGAAAAGTTAAATGAATTATTTTCATTTACATTCATGAAAGTATGAATGTAAAGCAATAGTATTGGATGAACAAGGTTTGATAGAACCAACTTATATAAACTGCATGATTGTGTACAAATATGTACTTTGTATATAAATGTTATAATTCATAATAAATGCATGGCACGATATAGGGTTTGTTTGGGCTTTTGATTTTTTGGAAATAGATTTTGTTGTTTTCATATTGTTAATAATGCATGACAGTGAATGAATTTGCATGGTGTTAACCCAGATTTTTATTTCTTCATAAATTCAAAATATCATAACATTTGTCAACAGTCAATATTGCTATGGTATGTACCTGAAATGTTGTTTGTTGCTATGGGTGAATGGATATCGAATATGACTTATTTGGCACACACCAGCACAAATTTGCACAAATTTGCACAAAAGTTATTTGTAAATAGACATACATGTACATGTATGTATGTAGTGCATTTAGACTAATCGTAGTTTGCAGCCACAAACCCTGTTGGTCTCTGATTAAAAAATCATATTATTATTATCTGGACTACAGTATCTTAGCTATCCAAAGCCTAGTTTGAGAGAATAAATCTTCTACAGTGTACATGCAATACAGTTGCTCCAGATGGTGTAGGCTTTTCATCAAGACAAATGATATGCTGATTCTCTACAGTACATGTACCAGACTTGCAGGTTCAACCTACATGTAATTATGACCTTAATGGGCCATGTGTGAATATGTAAAAAAAAAAAAAGAAAAAGAATAATGACATTAGAATTTAATAATAATTACAAAATAAGAATCATATAATTTAGAAAAAATAATTGTATATTTTATGGCAGGCTAGACGTGCTTTATTACCAAATTTAATAGTGAACTGTATTTTGTGGTATGAAAGCAATAAGCTTTATTTTTTTATTTTTTTTATTTATATAGATGGGGTGTATACTTTTCTTTATTACCAGTATATGTAATTGTACTTTAATATAGTTCTGTGATGGTAAACTGAATTACTAATGTGTCATACATGTTGTTATACATGACATTTCAGGTTATCTATTGGCATTGGACCATTTACAATGAACATACCTGCCTTTACAATGTATGTGTAGGGTACACATGGTGGTATCATGTCTACATGTATGTCTTCAAACTGTGGATCAATCGGCCTCAAGTGGTTTCTTCTATTCCACTTTTATTCCATGATAGTTTGACTTCAAAGCAGCTCTCATACAATACGTGTTGACTGTTATCATGCTCATTTTGGCTTACCATGAGTTATATTATGAGATGAGATTGACAAACTCAAAATTGTTATTGATGGCTGTGAAATTGTTTGTCAAGTAACTGTATGTGCATGTCTAGTATCACTGTAAATTTTATGAATATGAACCACTTTCAAACTTCTTTTTATTTCTCTTTTCAAGTACGGATTATATTTATCCCGCTGCATATTAGTTTTAATATTATGCAGTGGGACTAGAATTTTAAAACCTACGCTGCACAGAAGGTTGCATTGCATGACTAAAGAACTATGTAAATAATAATTTAATTCTTAACTAAGACATACACATTATTAGGGTGTGACTAAATGTACATGTAGCAGCCTAGCATATATCAGGGCCCCTCCCAGTAAGACAACACTGCCATTCTTTGTTTACATTTTGTATTGTACAATTATGAAATGAACCTTGGACGCTAGACTCCAATTTTGCATGTAAATACAGACTTTTCTGTTAAAACATTATATTACATTACCCCTGTATCCGTTTGCCTTTTATGAAAAGTCAGACAATGATTTTCAATTAAAAGATATGGCGGGACATTGTTCAAACATTCTAGTGAGTAAACATGATAAAAACATGTATGTACATTGTACATACATATTGTTTTCTCTCAATAGTTTGTTTTATTGATTCCAAAACAATACAAATCATTCTTAGAAATACAGTTGTTTTTCATCTCGACATGATTCAATACACGTTCAATACATACATGTATATAGACATGGAATGAAAAAAACCAACCAGTAATGTACATGTAGGTACACATTGTATGTCTGCTGATATACACTTAAAGTGTCACGGTCACTATTAAACCATAAATTAATTTGATATGTCAACGACCAAACTCTTTAGTTTTTGAGTGTCATGAACAAGGGTTTTAGGTGTCATCAAATAGTTGTTGAACATTTTAACTGTTTGATCATCATATTAATATGATATTGAAAGGATTCAATCAAAGAGAAACAATCATTAAAATAGTCTAGTGGGCACATGGTAATATGTCCTTCTACACAGCCATTCTCAATGTTTGCAAAGTAGTGGTGACTGGTGGACATCATACTTCATGAAATTCTCAGTATTATTTTATAGCTGTTTTCATTTGTTTATTTTATACTAAATGTGAACAGATTGAACTTTAGTGTAAATGGTACTTTCACATTTGAAAAAGTGTATTAACATAGGGTCCTACCCTTATGGCTGTTACACATGGCTGTGTAAGTTTATTATCATCAAGATTACAGCTCATTAGAAGGAGGAAAAATGTATTCATTATAATTTTGCCACCACATAATTTAATGATGTTATTTTTTAACCATTTTTACATTCCAATTCTTAATACAAATATCAAATACCTTTATTTGTTGAAGTCCTCATATATTTATTCATCAGAACAACTTACCAAAGAATAATTGTGTGTCATTCATTCATGTGATGAATCATTTATGTACTTCCATTTAAACTTCATCTGTTCTAGTGCATATTTGGTTATAATGATTATGAAATTTCATTCTTTTTCTTCTCTTAATGATAATCCTGTTTTATTTGCACAAATTTACATTCTGACACCACTGTCACATTATTGATAAGATGCATGCATGCACATTGCATATACTTCTTAACAATAACTTGGAACTCTTGTTGGATTTGGTAATTGGTTTGTATTTATTACTTTAATTTCCATCATTATCAAATTCATTCTTATTTGTTTATAAGGCATCAGACAGACTTAGAATTATCCTTTTAGAATCATAAATGGTTTTTATTTAGAACACTCGAAGTGATATTCAATTCATATTTATTTCATTTCCAACAGAAAGATAAACACAGGTATTACATTTTTTTTCCATAAACCTTTCATTTTTTCTAGTAACTACGGTATACAAATACACTTTGCACATAACAAAATTATTACAAGAAATATTAGTAGCACTGTGAATGTAACACACATGTAAGAGATCATTGCCAGATGAATCCTAATTCTGTAGCTTGATAAGAAACTTTGTATGGAAACTTCGTTAAATAAAATGCAAAACACAATATATTTTTGGCTCTGACCAGAAATACATGTACAGTACATGTATATGTTCTTCCTTGCATAGTGAAATTATCTTGAATTATTCAGTTTTTTAAGCACTTTTCCTTCATACAAGTGCCTGCATAAATGATTAAGATTAAGATTAATGTATGAAAGTAATAACAGCAGAATTAACTATATTTGTATATTATTTATTAATGTTTTTTTTCTTTCTTTTTCTTAAGGTGACACGTGTACTGAGAGTAGAATAGCAGATAGACTAGTTTGTCAGGAACCAATAAAGCAGCTAGGACCTTCTAAGAAAGGATCAACCATCAAAGTGCCTATCACGTTTCAAGCGTTGAAAGCGGGTGTTCAGGAGGTGAGTGTGACCGGAGAAAAAAGGGTATTATGACAAGAAGAGAGGTTGTTGTGGCTTAAGTGGCTGCAATGGTGTCTGATTAAAGGAGAGAAAAGGGGATTACAAGTAGGCAACGTCAGGAAGGGTAGAATTGTAATTCAGAGAGAGACAGAGAGAGAAAGATGAAGGAATGAAAGTGATGATGACGGTGATGTGTTTACTATTTTGTTAAAAATTATTATGATGCTGCTTTTTTAAAAAGCAGCATCAGAATAATGATGCTAGAAGATTGTTTCATATTAATGTAAAATTGTGTTATCTGCTTTGGATGATGATCATGTCAGTGTTATGATACTGATCATTCACTTTTTGTGTATTATAAGAAGAGAGTTGCTTAAAAGACAAAAATATTGGAAATGAGAAGGCAACAAGATAGGATAGACACATTATATTTGTCTTATAGTGGCGAATATATATATACATGTATATATATATATGCAGCAAAGAAACAAGCCAGGGGGTGTTTCACAAAGATCCTAAGTCTAACTTAACTCTAAGTTGGACTTAAAAATTATGGAGAGCCATTTGTAGCCTTAAAATATACTATATTCAAAAGCGAAAAATCAAGTATTTTAGACTTTAAAAAAATTCCACATCAAGAACATGAAATTTCCTTGATAAATAGAAAATATGAATGTTTTGAATAAACATTTCATGCCTTTTTAAACAACTTTTACAATTTTGTTTATAGATGGTAACGGCTTTCCATAATTTTTAAGTCCAACTTAGAGATAAGTTCAACTTAGGATCTTTGTGAAACAACCCCCTGGAGTACATAAGTATCTGTGTATAAAACAATAATATTTTGTGCTTTCTTTTTCCTATTTGATACAACCAGCTTGGAAAGTTCATGAAGTTACGGCTCCAGTACGCCTCTAAGCCTTTAGCAATCAGACCTCAAGTAGCTTCCCTAGCAACCCAGTCTTCTAAGCCTCCTCTCAAATCAACCTACTCCTCATCTTCTTCTTCCTCTTCCTCCTCCGCTTCATCATCATCTTCTACCTCTTCCACTGCCTGTATCACCACCTCTCCTTCTGTCATCACCACATCATCATCATCATCTCCATCGTTACCGATGTATGAGCTTCCGCTTTCCTTTCACGAGGAGCCGGAGAAGCAAGTATCCAAGGTCGGGGATTCAAGCCCCGGCTTACATCGTCGGGTGTTCAGCGTCGGACCTAACAGTTCCTTTGTTAAGAAAGGTGTCTTCACCAGACAGATGTCACTGGCCACACCAAGCTCTCATCCTATCAAGTAGGTTTCAAGTGCATTCACTTTTACTATGAAATACTCTTTCAACCCGGTATGATTTACATGTAGTACTGCCGACTAAGTTTTTATTAAACAAGAATATTGAATTGAATTGAATTGAACTTTATTTGATTTCAATCACAGTAAAAATGACATTATACATTGTTGTAAAACATAGACAAAGAAAAATACATTGAAATATATGTACATGTATACATTGGACAAATAAAAAGAGAAAAAGAAAAAGAAGACATGATATAAATCTACTAAAAGTACATAGGATGGGAAAAGGTGCATCCGTAAAAGCCACAGGGGCTTGATGAATGAGCGCACCCTGAGCATGTCACAATATAATTAACAATCAAAAGCTCAGTCAGCTGGAGAAGCGTAAAGGGATAAACATTGCTTACAATATATCATTTAAAAAGAACTATACAATGACAAGAAGAGCTGCTAAAGTTTACGTTTAAATGGTTTGGTGAACTGAATTAATTGTAAAGAATGTGGTAATGTGTTCCAAAATTTAGGGCCATTATGGTGAAGAGAAATTGTAACAGTGCTGAAAGTTAGAGGCATTCCTAGTATTATAATATTTGCAGAACAGAAAACAAAACTAGCTACCTATGTACTGATGCGTTAGTATTTCTGTAGGAATACTATTCTACAATGTAGTTGTGAATGCTTCATTTACCAAATAAGTTTGTTTGTTTTTTCTTCAGAAATGGAGGTTACAATTTTCTTCATTATTAACAGATTATTCATTGCCCAGGGATATTATTTGCATAATTGAGATGCAAATGTTTTTTAGGTCGTGTCATTAGAATGCAATGCTTTATTAAATGTTGATATTTCCTGCTAATAATTTAAATATACAATTCAATCTCACAGGAAATTTTTAGCTGGAATCCGTTCACACTCCTTTAGTGGGGAGTCTGGAAGTGATGCCTGTCACCATGACAACCAAGAAGATAACATCCAGAGAGACAGGAGCACCGGTAGTGATCCAGGAATCAGGTAATGATCTCAATTGAGTTTCTATCTTATTGACTAGACAAGTTAACTGATTTTCCTCTTTTTTGTTTGCATACTTTTTGTATTGTTTACTGCCTCAGTCTATTAATCTAAGACTGCTTTTAATTCAATTTATTTCAATTCATCATCGTTTATTTTAATCATAAAACCATAAAATAATATACTAGTACATTGTATATACAAAAGTAAAGTGCTTTTCTTATTGTTTGAAAGTCTCACGGTGGTTTACATTGCATTGTTTGTGTAAAAGATCTTGAAAATGATATTTTGGTTATTCATGAGGCAAGTTTGATTGTTATGGAAAAACATATCCTTGTCATGAATCAGGATAGAACATTTTTGGATACTGGAAATTTTATGTTGTATTTGTTTGTTTGTTTCTGATCAAATAAATAAAAACTTTCAATGCCATGTTTATTTTGTAGGCATTGAATGTCATTGTTTTCTTTGTACTGTATCTATCAAGGTAATACACTACATACACTACACTACATACATGTATTATTTGCTGATGATGCCAGTGTTTTGTTATCTCATCATCATATTCATATCCTTGAAAACAGCATCAATAGGGAACTGAATATAATATAAGTGGTCATTTTCACAGTAAAGGGTGTAACTTTTATAAAACAGGGTCAACATTTCAAAGTATGTTTCCATAAATATTTCTACTAAAATTATTAATATAAATGTCTAAATTATGGATTTTTTGTTTTGTTCTGGAGCTTGAGAAATCAGTAAACATGAGAAACCTGGAAAAATAATGAACAACTGTGACAAATATGATTAATTTGAACAAAAACAACACTTTAATTCTATCAGCTTTAATAAATGACAACATTTTTTCTGCAAACATAATCCAATTGCAATTTTTCATTTGCCATTCTAATGAATTCAAAGGCTTAAAAAGCTTTTTTGGTCAAACTTATTTGGTCTTTAAAAAAATACAACGCATTTGTCAAATTTAAGATGAAATATTACTTTGTCATTTAAATTGTCAATTTCACCTATCTTCCAAGAGAGGGAGTAAAGTAAAAATTATTCTACAAATACCATTCAGTAAGGGCTAATTACCAACGCAAATTCCAAAGAAATCGCATTTCAAATTAGGAAGTTCGAATGTGTGTGTTTTCGGAGGCTTCAGGTTACAATGCCTGGTTTGGAGACTTCAATCATGTCAACATAAAATATTGTGCATTACTAATAGGTAACAGATTAAGACAGTAAAATCCAACTTAATTCTTTAATACTGATATGTTTAATTACTAATATAACACCTAAAACATTTGGTAACAGAGTAAAAATACTTGTTAAGTATGCAGTATTACTGTAAATTTTTTATGATTGTAACTGCCTCTTAAAAGTCTACTTCTAATGATTTTTATTTTTATTTTGATCATACCCTGTAATGTAATGAACCATGAATAAAATAAATATCGGTAAATAACTTCAATTGCCTTTTTTTTCTCAACCTTATACAGGCCTATACCCACGAAAATGCAGCACGAGCTTAGCACAGATAACTCTGGTCTTAGTGTGGACAGGATAGCCAAGCACAGATCTCAGGTCTATGTGACATCCTGATACTCAGGACTCAAGCTTAGAGTACATGCATGTGACACCCCGACTCTCTCTGTATTAGCCAAGCACTGAATCTCAAGTCTATGTGACACCCTGATACTCAGGCTTATTCTACCTTAAGATGGACTCAAGCCTACATTACATCATGTGACACCCCGACTCTCTCTGTATTAGCCAAACACTGAATCTCAAGTCTACGTGACACCCTATTACTCGGCTTATTCTACCTTAAGATGAGACTCAAGCGTACAGTACATCATGTGACACCCCGACTCTCTCTGTATTAGCCAAGCACTGAATCTCAAGTCTACGTGACACCCTATTACTCGGCATATTATAGCGCATTTAAACTCTGGTGTATTATGTGACACCACACACTATATTAGCCAGAGCTACAGATTGTTAGGTGACACCCTCATACATTGCTTATTTCTGTGCCCCCATTCTTTGGAACTCTCTCCCTGCCCATATTCAGGACTCGCCCACATCTGACATCTATTCCAAAAAGAACCCCAATCACTATAAAATAAGTGTGAATTTGTATTACAATACTACATTACGGTATGTTCTTTGTTAAATTGTTGCTATTATTAATATGTTAACTTTCCCAGAAATTTACATGTTATGTTGATTTCTTTAGTAATGTTAGTAATGTTTGATTTTCTTGGTGATTTAAGTATTAAAATGTTAATTTGTTCAGTTAATTATAATTTTTTCCAATTAAAATGCATAGTCGGTCATTTGCAAACCAATAAGGTCATAATTTGGTTTAGTTTTTAATTTGATGATGATTGTTTAACCTGACTGCTAATAAAGCTTGTGTATGATTGTAAGTAAGCAACCAGGATACCAACAGCTTTGGTAGGAACTTGGGAATAAGTATTAGCTCTTTTCCTTCCCCGTTACAAGACCACTGCTCTACCACTGAGGCAGGGCGTCTTCTGCAGACAGTGCAATGGCATGTGTTACAGAGATACATGTACTTGTATAGATGTTGTATAAGACAAGCTGTACAGGCATTTATGAGTAACTTTCTTGAGAAAATGTGCATGGAATGACATGTTGACTGCTTGTACATTGTACATGTTAATGTATTGTAGAGGGATGTAGGTGGTGGTAGAAATCTGCAGAATAATGTTCTTCCAGTTTATGTTTGATCATTTGTAATAGGTTTGAAATTCTTTAACTTGTTTACATTACTACAGAACAGGAGAGTGTTTCACAAAGACTAAGATCGACTTTAAGTTGGACTTAACTATGGCAGGCCGTACATGCCACTAGTTCCTCTAACCATTCCTGGCATTGGTTTTTCAAGGGACGTATAAATTGTGGTCACAAATCTACAGAATTAACATTTTTTGATAGTATATTATTGAAGGAAAAATTGTTATCTACATGTAAATATCATAATTGAGAGACCAATAGTGAGAGCAACCAGTGGCATGAATGGCCTGCCATAGTTAAGTCCAACTTTAAGTCGATATTAGTCTTTGTGAAACACCACCCTGGTCATACTAGGAAGTCAAGTTTGCAACTATTGTTGAAAATATATTTTTGTAAGTCTCTTTTTTTTTTCTTACATGAAATATGTTTATAGTAAAACAAGGATCAATGGTAAGCGATTGGATTATTCATGCATTTGAATGGATTTTTTGTTTTACGATATAAAAGTCAAATATTTTTAGATACAGGTATATGCAATTTATTTGTCGGACATGCTGGAGTATGATTATTGCAACACATTCTTATAGAAGTCAACATGTGCAATTTTGAGACAAATTTAATCGATATAAATGAATTGTTGACTTGTGGATATGTAAATGTAATTACAGATTTATTAAAGGAACAAAGCCTATTGAGATAAAGTTAATATATAATGTATTTTTGGTATAAAGGACATCTAGGCTTAAAGAGGAAGTTGAGTTCTGGGAAGAGGTGAAAAATATTTGTGAGCGTTATCATTGTTATTATGCAAGTTTGGAAGAACATCAGATAAAAAATGTTCCCTGAAAAAGATGGCTCTTCAAATGCTTACATATTCTACATATTGCATGTAATGACATAAAAATTGGAACAGATTTTTATGCCACATGTTCGTGTAGCCCCATATACAATGTACATCTTTCTGTGTACAGTGATTGTCACTTTACCAAGACTGGGCCAAATTTCACATCATTTTTATGATTCCAGACCCTTGCAGTACACACCAATACTTATATTCTAGATGATCAACCTTTTCTGATCGATACCACACCGCTTCTTTCACAATGCAATCGCATGACCAGAACTCAACTTTATCTTCAAATGATTTACACTTTATGTAGACTTTCATGATGTAACTACTGCGTAAACGAAGTAAAGGCGGCGTACAGCATGTGTGTGTTGACTTTCTGTGCAATCTGAGGACTATTCCGTTTGTTTCAAGGATCAACCATGGGATCTACAGAGAAAGGCTTCTTCCTATGTAGCCCAGAATATATATATACGGTATATGTATTGTTTCTTTATCAAGACACAATGTGAATCAAAATATACACTTTTATGTGTGATACATGTACATCTGGGCCCTGTTTCATAATTACATTTTATTAAATCAATGATTACTGCCATAACGCTATGAATGATATGTTCACGGAGATGAATGCATTGATTTCAGTAGCTTACCTGTAAAGTGTACATCAGTTATCATAAGTTTTGATAATACAAAGAAACCTGCATATAAATACCGCTCAAGGAGTCATTGTTGGCAGATGGTTGTTATGTACAGGTTCCTTCAGTTTCAATGAGAAACCATTTACAATGGAAACAAAATTGATAGGTGGTCTTTCTATACAGGTTGTCTCTAAAGAAGGTTTGACTGTAAAAAGTTTTTGTGAAACGGGGACCAGATCAGTAGAAGAAAAATGTCCATTTGGTATACAACTCAATGTGTACATTATACTGTAAGTAAAGTATATGTACATGTATCTAGACATTAGAGGAGTTCTGTTTCATCCATAAAGTGTTTTTTTTTTTAACTTAGAGGTTGATGCCCCTGTGTATACATGCAAGGGCAACTTTAATTTGAAGGAAGATATGCAACAGAACATTCAACAAAACTGAAATAAATAGAGAATAAACCTCACTTTTATCACTTTGATCTTCTAACATGTACATGTAAAGTAGCCTTGAAGTTATGTCTAAGTTTTCCAGTTTGTGTATAATGCATGAGTATGCAGGTCAGATGTAAGGACCATCAGTGCAATCTTGTATTCGTCTGAAAAGAATGTTAATGTTTAAAACTACAGCAACACTTTGGCAAACTATGAAATTAACTTGTATGTTTAGTTTAACCTTAATTAAGCCTCGGTCACAAATGCCATTACGAACTGCTACGAATGGCGTACAAACGATTTTCAGACAATGGAAATTCGGGAAGACAATGGAAAATCAGGGAGATTTGTACAAAATTATCATTCGTACAAACCTTTGTGACCATAGCATTAAGAGAAAAACAAGAGAGAAATAGTTTTTTAAGTGGATATATGGGCTTAAACTCCAAAGACAGGATAGTTATGTAATTGTCATACAGATGTACATACATAACACCATGAACATCTGCTTACCGGTTTCTGAAATTACAGGGTAAAATGGATGCATGTACATTCAGGTCAATCAGTTTTCTATCACATCATCACCTCTTTTCTTACCTTGTGTAAAGTGCCTTTCATCTACTGATTACCACATGACTTTGTGAGGAAATAATTGTTTTGTAAAGGTCTAGTAGCTGTATTCTAGTTTCATGTGTAGATGCAAGAGAAATAATACTATGTGAAAAAACAAAAAAATGGCATAAAAAAAACCCTCCATCCGGCAGGCAGAGGGCGATGAGTTGTCCAAAAAAAAAAAAAAAAAAAAAAAACAGGTTATTGTCACACTCTTCTTCAGTGGCCAGATGTGAGAGATGTTTAAAAATTAAATCCATTTCGAATGCAGACACACATAAGGTGTACCTGCATGTACATGTATGTTATTAAGCTAAATAGCATCAAAACTATCACAATTAGTTTGAAGTGCATGTCATCAATAAGAACCAATCAGCCATCACTTCTGTATTTTGCTATTGTTCAGAGTTGAAATGAAAATACATATTTAGCCCTATAGAATTTCTCATTGTAGCTCTATAAACTTTGATAATAATTATTGTATAAAGGGACAAAAAAAAAAATCACTCTTTAAAAAGCAGTTGTGAACATTTCAAAAGTGAGCATTATTCCAGTTTGCAAATATTTGATAGATAAAGCATCTTTGGGTATTTCTCAAGTATTCCATGACTATAGATAATGGCATGATGCATAATTGTATGAAAAAAATAGGTGCGCAATGCATACTGAACAAATATATGATAGAGTATATATTTATCAATAGAATGTCTTGCCTCTATGCTTGAGGTACATGTATATCCATATACATACACACATGTAGTATAGTTTTGATGGAAGAACAATAAAGGAAATTGCTTTATGTATACTATTTTTAGTGTATTTTATTTGAATGTCATGGCTGGCAATGTTTTTGACAAGTGTGTGTGTTTCTGAAAGCCTTCTGGGGAAACTTCATAATTGATGGAGGTTCACAAGTAAACCATGGCTGGTATTCTACTAAAATATCAACCAGAAGTTTGGGGTGACAAGGAGATTAAAGGAAAGTTATGTGTCAAATAGACAATAGTGGTCGTGTGTAATGGGATTCATTGTTAAATGGAGATGGATGGATGAAAACTTTAATCACAGACATTTTTGAAAGAAATGAAGAGAGTGAGTAGGTGAGACTGAGAGAGAGAGAAAAAGAGATGGATAGAGAGGGAGGGGGTAGAAAGGGTGGAGAGGGGTGAATTTTGGATAAGCATACGGTATAGAATATAAAAAACAAGGGACTTTTCTGACCATTATCATTTTTGCTTTTTCTCTCATTTATATAATTCTCATTCAGTCTAAGCTCTCTCACTCTGTTTGAATCTTACTCATGAATCTCCTTTCCTTTGTCATTCCTTCCTGCTTTCTTTCACTTCATTTTCATTCGCCTCAATTTCCCCATATTTCCTTACTTCAACCCCCCCCCCCCCCCCCCCCACCTAAATCCATCTTGACTCAATGTTGCCTTTTGATACCATGGATCTACCTGTATCATAACAATGCTTTTTACCTTCTTTCTCTTGCATCATGTCTCACCTTCCTTGTAACTCATACCCCCTTCTCTCTCTTTTGATCACTTTGATATATTTCGCCATTTTTTCCATCTCTTCTTGTTCACTCTTTCTCATTTCCTCATCGCTACATTATCTCTCTTTCTCTTCCTTTTTCTCTTTCTCTTTAACTCTCCCATATCCCTTCTTTTTTCTTCATTCTGGCTCTTGATCAAAATGCATCTCCATACCCTCTCCTTTCTAGGTTCTTTTTCCCATGCTTTATCCCTCTCCTTTGTTTCTCTTTCTTCTCTCTTTCAATTCCTTCTCACTCTCTCTCTCTCTCTCTCTCTGTGGCTGATTCCCCCCCCCCCCCCACCCCCTCTCTCTCTCTCTCTCTCTCTCTCTCCTACTGAAAAAAGGTTTTCTGTATGGTGAATATTGTTCTCATCAGGTTTAACTAAACAGGGTCTTGTCACTTTGGTGTGCAGTGCATGTACCTTTTTCTGATTAGTACCGGTAGCCCTAATTTCAAATATGTCTAAATCAATGTATCGTACTGAGAAATCATTTGCCTTTTGATTCATGATACCTACAGGGCATGAAGATAATTAATGGTTGTTCTATACATAGGCATTTATGCAATAAACACAACAACAATCGGCTACAAGATTTTAGTGCAATAGCAGAGGTGTTCTACATGTATGTCCTGCGACTACGACCCGATAAGGCTCACAGTCGCAGAGTTTTGGGTTGCAGTCGGATTGTGTAGTGTGCGCCGCGCTTAAGTTTTCCTCTCGTTTATGATCTTAGAGCCAGGATTGGGTTTAATATACGGACCAAACATGATCCGAGAGTTCACATGAAAAGACTACAGGAACTCGTATTGAGGGGGAGGGGACAAGTTATGGACTTACAAGGTGAATAAATACTTTAGTGTAATAGAAAAATGAGAGAACAATCAGCTTGAGTATTTATACAAAACTTTAATACATGTACTTGCGCGATAATAAATCTCAAATACAATTTTCCAAATCTTATATGCTAGTACACTACATTGTATTTCACTCTCCACATCCTACAATACAAAGACCAACAAAAAAATTGTTCATACCACATATTTCCATGGTCTAACAATTTCATACATAAATTTACCCCCAATAACAGCAAGATCATGGTCAATAGAGTTCAAGTTTATGTCTGTCAAATGTGTATACATAGGTTTCAGCTAATTAAAAAGAAGCTAAACAAGTATAAGATGAGATGCTTTGTGTGCCTTTATTCACAGCCGTTCCTTGATTTCAGTGAACCAATCATTTCTTCATATATCCATTTATATTAGCTGATATACATGTAATGGTTACTTGGCAGTTAGTATTTAAAGGATTTAAATTCTAAATCAAAGATCTTTATTTGATAACACAAGGCACAATTCATGTATATATTTGGAATGTCTGCTAATCTACACATAAGTCATTACTAGTAGAATTAAAGGGATGAATCATGTTTTTTTGAGAAAAAAAACAATTTTATTTGATCATAACCATCACTGCACATTTTCTTCCACATTAAATTCTTACTTCTTGTAAAATCAATGCTATTGGTTCCAAATGTAAATAATGCATGTACATTTAAGTAAACATGACGATGACTGTATAGAATGCATCTTTATTTCCCTTTGCAATTGATTATACATGTATTCACATTTTCAAAATAAAAGATCTATATTAAACTAATCCAATCTTTATAGTGCTCTTTTTTTCAAGCAACACATAACACTACAATTACGGGGAAAAAATAATTTACAAACAGGATAGAAATATACCCAAAGCAAAGTGTACTTATTGCACCAAGTGTCACTAAACTTCTCATTTTGTTTTCTTTTATAAAATTGTATAAAATTCAACATATAAAGAAAGAAAAAAGGAGAAGAAAAAAAGAAAAAAAATAAGAAAAAAGATTAACATCGTAATTACATTACACGTACCATGGGCAGAATGATTCTGTTAGAGAAAAAATGCTTAGGATCAATTCATGGGATATTCTTCTAGCCCCGGCTGAGCAGTATTTATATAAATTAAGCAAAGAGTTGCTTAAACAAACAATAATATCATCCAGTATTATATCTATTCTGTATTAATATTACTTTTTCTGGAAGTATAATGTAATCCAGACAACTCTTACATGAACATCTTTACTCCTCCTTTAAAATGGCAAATCTTGTCCAAGAATTCAAGCTTTAAATGATAAGAAAATTATACCTTTCCTTCTTCCAGGAACAGACACAGAAACCTGTCCATGGAAAACATTCTATGCCAAATTGATAATTGAAATAAACCATTTAAAGTAAATCTAATATACTTGTAAGTTTATTCATGACAACAAGATATTGTGGCACAGAAGGGATTACATAAATATATGTTGTAAAGGGGATACCATCATAGTCCTTTATATGCCTTTGTTTGTATCCCCTCCTCCAAACTTTACTTGCAAACTGTTACCATAGCAATTTGTTTGGCATCATACCATCATGCCATAACTGGTTCTTTGGGGATGTTCTTCCTTTTGCTGATGTAAACTTTGTCACTTGATATTGTTGCTATGTACAAGAAGTCATCAAAAATAACTGCAGCAAAGAAAGAAAGAGGAAGAAATACAATCCAACAATTTTTTTTAAAATTTTTAAATAAATATATCACATACCAAACAATCATTTGTAAATACATATGTTCAGCTTGCAGCTAACAGTAATATTTAAACAGATAGAGCCTGTATGTTTTTAGTAACAAGTGAAAAGACAAGCAGTCTTTAGTTGTAAGTGAGTACAATGGTGAAGGAAAATAGGCTTGCATAACTATTTACATCTTTGATCTTAATATTTCCACATCTCCAACTATGCAACTAGGATAATGTCATTCAAAAGTTACTCTCGCCCCCATATTTATTTATAGATAAGAGATAAGCTGGATAAAAGACAAGATTTTTAAAACATCTTTTTGTCTTTTATCTTTTTCATCAGAAGTTGCTTAGTTTCAAATATTTGAAAAACATAGAAAGGTTTTCTTTTCCGAGCTTGACTAAAGATGGGCTCAAATAAAGATGAGCCTCAGAATAGTTTAAGTAGAGACATGCAGATAAGAGATATAAATTATCATAAAGATCATAGTGACATTCACTTTAGAAGAGGACCTGTTCAGTACCAAGAGAATACCATGAATTGAAAGAAATCTCCCAACATGTTTGTAAATCAATTGCTTTATATGCAGCAATAGATTGTTTTTTCATCACAAAGCTGAGAGGATATGTGAATTTGGTTTAATGCGAACTTGATTTAAATAAAAATCTTTAAAAAAATTAGGAGAACATAATCCTGAAGAATGCTAACTCTACATGACTGTAATTTACTCTACGTACCTGAGAGCCTCTTGAAGGATTGTGAGTTGTCTGGTGTTATGTTAACTTTAGACGCCAGTCTTATCATCTTCATGATGATAGCAGCAGTAGCTTCATCATTCTCCAGGTCCCCGGATGACTGGCAGATAGAAAAACAAAAAGATCACACTCATTGTAACTTTGCTTTTAATTCACTTAATATATGGTAGAAGAAGGCATTACCTTAAAAATTTACTTCGATTCTCTGTCACTTTTCTTGTTTTTAAGTTTTTAATGTCTTTCTAATTTTTTTTCTTCCCTGAAACATCTTTTTTGTACATTTACTTCTATTCTATTTATTTTTTCTTTCCTTTTTTTGCTTTAATCCATGGTCATGGTAACAATGCAATTCATCATTAAAAATGATTTTAAATAAGCTTTTTAAATCAATTCCTCCTACATACTTCCATTTTGAAACATACAAATTTGTTTTGCTGGCCTTCACAAATTCAACTTCTGATCCGATTCTTAATTGGACCAAAAGTATAAAAACGGCAGGTTTTCAGGAGCCGGCATGGCTCTGACCCCCGCCACTGCTCACAGTCACAGAAAAAATAGATGAAAGTGAGAGAGATGGGGAAAAGGCAGAAAGAAAAAGGAAGAGAGATGGGGATCGTGACAGAGGCAGAGGCAATCATGCAGAGATAAAACAGGAGACTGTGACCGAGGCAGAAACAGATATGCAGATGCAGAGACAGAGCCAGAGATACAGTGAGAGAGAGAGAGAGAGAGAGAGAGAGAAAGGGGGAGAGAGAGAGAGAAAGAAAGAGAGAGAGAGAACAAGAGAGAGAGAGATAAAGAGAGTAAAAGAGAGTAAAAGAGAGAGAGAGAAAGAGAGAAAGAGAAAAAGAGAGAGAAAAAGAGAGAGAGAAAAAAGAGAGAGAGAGAGGGAGAGAGGGAGTGAAGATTCTTACAGCCATGACTGCTCCACTATCGTTGAGGATCAAGTATCCCTCCTGGTTTGGTACTTTGTCCAGATTATGAGGTCCTGGCCCACTCTGAAAAATGTTTAATACACAAAACAAATTAGTTTAGGGTGAAAATTAGTATTCAAAAAAATTATTTCTAAAGTTTAAGTCTTTCCTTGGTCTTATGTAAAAATTGTCAAAAAATAAGACATGTACATTATTGTACCAAGGCACAACAAAATCACCCAAAAAACAGTTTCCACATATGCCCTTTTAGTTTACCAGTTTAAAAATTATTATGAGTCATCACAGTTCAAATTTCATTATTAGTCCCAGTCAAAATAGTGAATTTTAGGGGGGGGGACCCAAAAGTAAATGTAAAGAATTTATTCCACTGCAGTGCCCTACCTACAGAGTAACCCTCTGAAGAACATCCGCCATAGTGCATATTGACGGTCATATTTTACTCACATTCACAGCGAGTATAGATCTAGACTACACTGTTGTATATCATTAATGCTCCTATGGCTATGGCTTATTTTTTTGTTTTTTGAAAGTTATATTATTGTTCATTCAATGCATAAGAAATAACAGAACAATAGCATATACATAATTTGTCATAATATTACAAAATACTGGAGTTACTTAAACATAAACAGATATATGAAATATATAAATAATTAGGGTGATAATTCAAGTTCAAGTTCAAGTTCAAAAAGAGTTTATTAATCAAATGATTCGCAGTCAAGGGCTGAATTGCACATTTGTTACATTTGTTACATTTAAAGATATACAAAATAAATAATTGAAAATAGATACATACAAACAAAATAGCAAAGTGCACGTTACAAACCAATAGTAGATGTTAAAAGTTTAAAAAGTTTAAAAAGTGATGAGTGGCAGTGGGCATTCTCGTGGTGATGGGCACACATGTCCAGGAGGTGGGCCCCTTCCCCTTCAAAAAAATAATTAATCAAAACAACCCCCTCCCCCCAATAAATTAAGATTAGATCCCACCAACAAGGAAAGGGCGCCCATCACCCAGAGAATGCCCATGCATATACAACCAGCAAATACACAATTGTACATAGGAGAAGAAAATAATCATAACAAAATAAACTATATATTGTTTAAAATGCGAACAAGGTAAGGAAGAGCACTATTTTGAAATCTTTGCGTTTTACATTTAAAAGTGTCATATTTGTTTGAGTTTCTCAAATTGTATCTATTTTCTCTTTTAACCGGTAACCAATCATTAAAAACAGGGTGTTTTTCTAAAGATATTACAAAATGTTCACAAAGTTGTTTTCTTCTTGTTTCAAGTGTGATCAAGTTACACAATGAAAGAGCATTGACATATGTTATATAGTCACCTCCCAATATTATTCTAAGGACTCTCTTTTGAATTCATTCTAAATTTAATATTTGCTCTTGAGTAATATTTCCATTAAAAACAGGGACACAATAATCAAGTACTGGTCTTATGTATCCCATGTATATAGTTAAAAGGTCATTGCGAGGAAAATTAAATGATTTCAATCTACGGAGCATATACAATTTTCTATTACACCTTAACATTGTATCTTTGATATGTAAGTCCCATTTGAGATTACTTTGTACAATGACCCCAAGAATTTTAGCAAATTTCACTATATCTAATTCAACATTCCCAATAAGTAAATTTTCAAACACTAGTGGTCGTTTCATAAAAGTAATAACCATGGCATGACATTTGGCTGCATTTAATTTCATATTATTTACACTAGTCCATTGTTGAAAGTTATTAAGAGATTCTTGTATTCTTGAAATTTGGGTACATTTCCTACTTTCAACAAGTGTAAGATCATCAACATACTTATAATATGATATAATTTCATCTTTACAAGCATCTTTTATCATTATCAAAAATAGTACAGGGCCTAATTTAGTTCCTTGGGGAACACCAGTATGAATCAATTGTGAGTCAGAAATTGTACCTCTATATTTCACACATTGGGTCCTATTTTGTAAAAAGTTAACAACTAACGAAATTACACAGGGCCTGACGCCCAAGTCAATTAATTTTCTAATTAAAATGTTGTGGTCTATTCGATCGAAAGCCTTAGACAGATCAGTTAAAACTAATGTAGATATAGACTTGGGTGAATCAGCATTTTCATACAATTGGTGTAGCAATTTAATCAGATAATGACAAGTTGATACCATTGGTCGATTTCCATATTGATGTATATCAATTTTTCCTTCAATATCTTCCAGTAGCCACTTAACAATAAAGGATTCACAAATTTTAGCAAAGTGGCTTGTTAAAGCTATCGGTCTAAGATCTGTAATTGTGGGTGTATTTTTCTTAGGTATAGGAACAATTTGTGCATGTTTCCAAGAGTTAGGAATAATACAAGTTTCAAAAGACACATTAAGAATATCGGCCAATGGTACACACAGTTCATAAGAAAATTCACGAAGAATTCTTACTGGTAAATCTCCCGTTATACTAGATTTTTGTAAATTTATTTTACTAAGCAACTTATAAACTTGTTGACATTCAATGAAAGGACATTTTACAGGTGATGGTAAGTATGCAGGTAAGAATGAGCTATCAAGATGAGGCAAATCTTCAGCAATAGATATAAAATGTTCATTAATTTTGTTAGCAGTTTCAGTATAGCAGTTTGGATTACTAGAGTCAATTCCAGGAATGTCTACAGCAGTCTGTTCTTTTCTGCCTTGAGTGAGAATTTTTATTTTATTATGCCAACCAGCAGGATCATCTCTCTTTAAATTGGTTATCCTGGTATTATGGTAATGACTTTTAGCTAATGGTATTGCTTTAGCAACTTTGTTCTTAAAATGACGCCACAGTGGTTTATTGTCTTGGCACCATGCTCTTTGTCGGTTTTGGATTGTTGACTTAATATCTGATGTCATCCAAGGTTTATCGTCCTCATGGAAACGAATCTCACGTACTGGGAGGCTGTCATCAAGATGTTCCTGAACTGTACTTAGTAAAATTGTCAACTTATCATTGACGCCGGTTGCTTGGAGAACTTCTTCCCAGGAATGTTGGGTTATCCAAGATCCAAAAACCCTTCGACCACTATCCGTCAAAGGTCGAACATTTTTTTTGCGTATTTTATTTGAACGGTTAGCTTGAGGAAAACGTGGTTGCCACAAAACACAGTTGTGGTCACTATTAGCTATTGGACATAAAATCTCAGGTGAGTGATATAATAATGAATAATTTGTAATAATCATATCTAAAATATTTTCTCCTCTTGTTGGTTGCTGTACAACTTGCTTAAATCGTTGATCTTGTAGAAAGGGCTCAATATCGAGGTCATTAAAATCACCAATTATGGATATTCCGGCTCCAGGATATCGAATTAGTAGTTCATCAATGGTAGAAGTAATGTGATCGATATAATCCGGTGAGAGCGGGTCCCTGGGTGGGAAGTAGATCACACAGATTATAATAGATGATACTTGGCGTGGTAATTTTGGTGGTCTCATCTGGATCCACAGGACCTCTAGGCCGTCAGGAACTTGTACTGGGAGTTGTTTGCAGTGGAGTCGTTGTTTACCGTAGAGCGCGACGCCGCCACCAACACGATCCTTTCGGGATTTGAAGAATAGATTGTAATTTGACAATGAAAAAAGCTGCAGAGGGGTATTTTCGTTGAACCAAGTCTCTGTAATTGCAATTAAGTCAGCATTATTGATATCAGCAACAACTGACATATCATCAAACTTGTTTTGTAATGATCTAGCATTCAATAAAAGGACAGAGGGTAGATCATACTTCTGTTTCCTATTCTGATGTGTAGAAGTTTTCTCAATATGTATTGTAATAAGGCATTTGTTTCTATCTTGTTGGATATGCCTATTACTAGTTCGTTTAGTAATTCGTTGTCGAACAAGGACAGGAATTTGTTTCCGATTTCGTGAATGATTGCCTCCTCTCTTACCTCGGTGGGGAGCAGGTTTGCTATTGATGCCCAGGTGTTTGATGATGTCCCACGTAGCAGGAGGTAGTTTGGTGCGTGTACATGTTGTCCTTATCTCATGTAAAGATGAGATGGGATATCTACGGATTTGAGATATTTGTCCATTTTCATTGATGTTGCCGTTGAGTCGAGGTCCAGGGTTGCTCTCAACGTCTCCACATCGTAGAAGTTCACTACGAAAAGTTGATATCGAGTTGTTATAATATTGAATCCGTCTTCCGACGAATTTATGGTGGAAAAGTTTGGTTCCAATGCCATGAACATAACCATCATTGAAGTCGTGAATAGGCGAGTTTATTTCAAATAGTGGTAGGGTTACGTTTCTCAAAAACAGAGTGTTCCGAAAATTGTTGTACCAGTAATTATATGGGTGGTACACATTACACAGCAGCAAGCACAAAATCATTAAGTCTTTTAACTTCATCTTTCATGGTTCCAAGTAAACAAACTGATATAAAACTTGGCGTGACCATGATCTTTATTAAATCAGTCATCAATACGGATTGCGCGCCAACCCAGTACACGTAAAGTCAATACAATTGCCGTATTCATGAGGCTATGTTACTCCGGTCTCCTCGTTCGTACAGTTTGACCACGCATGAATGGGCATTAGCGCTACACGTGTAGGGTACGCAAAATGGCGATTCTCCATGTATCGTGTAGTGAACGTGAAGGTACAAGACATAAAATCTGAAAGTTATTAGTTCTCACCAAACAGCCCGTGACATTACGTAGAAATTGTCCTGATGATTCAGAAAGGCTCAATCAAAAAGCTGATCATGCAGACTGAATAAGTCTAAAAGTCAAAATATATACAATGTATGTAAAAACACTCGAATCCGAGAGCACCAATAATTTCGTGTCAGCCGTTCCAGGCGCGCACATACCATATAATATTGATAATATAAGATAATATAAGATCTCTATTAACCAGCAGGGGCGCTGGTCCGAGAATGAGGATTGTCCTCATAAAAGAGGATATCCTCATAAACGCAGACAAAATGCGTCCCCAAACATAAGGATCGTCTGCATTTTCGTGGACGTTTTTTTTCATTGGCGCTCTGCAGGTTTCAAGTTAACGAACCAGCC